GTTCCTGGTTAATATATCTGAAGTTCCCGATTAATAACCGTTATAACAATTACAGTTACAGCTTCTGAAGTTTATAGCACACCAATTATAGCAAACCAATAATAGATACTGTTTTAGGCGCGGCGCGTTGGTTATATTTAAAGGCGTGTGGAGAGTTTCTCGAAACTTCATGTTACGCAACAATACAAACGCTAAACTAGCGTTTACGTACACATATATATTGTTGATTCTTACACTCAAGAATCTTCTACAACTTTAGAAAATGGGTATGAATTTCGCAATACAGATTTAACAGTATGAGTTATGTACATTTCTAAATATGAATTATGCTTATACAAATATCGATATTAAATATATATATATAATACTAAATCCGCCACATTGTATATTTAAAATTCTAAAAGTTTAATTTGATTTGTTTTGAACTTCGAGCAAAGCTACTCAAGGCCTATCTGCGCTAGCCGTCACTAATTTAGTAGTGATAGATTAGAGGGAAGGCAGTTAGTCAACACAACCCACCGCCAACTCCCTGTATATTAGGACGGTTACAATAGTTGAATGTATAACTTTTTTTATAGAATTTTGCGCAAAGCTAGTCGAGGTCTGTCTACGCTAGCAATACCTAACTTTGATGTGACAGATAGACTAGAGGGAAGGCACCTATTCAACACCACCGAACGCCAATTCGTGGGTTACTATAATCGAATAGTGGGAACTGACCGTCACTCTTATAATGCATCTACAGACCCAAAGTTCGGAACGCGATTTTTTTTCTTTGTTTTTGCGGTAATTGGATGCGAACCTTGGAGCCCTAGTCCGGAATGATAACCATTATCCATATTTGTGAAAGAGTACTAATTAGTTAAGAGTTTCGTGTCTTGTTTTGCCTAATTAGCATAACATAACGTTTTGGGACAACATGGGACCTATTGGTCCATCCTCTAAATTAAATTAAAATATTTTTTAAAAAACCTTAAAGTCAGCCCTTATCATTCATATACTTATCAAGCTTATTCTTAATCTCACTTAAATTGATGCATATCATAACCTTGACCCAATATCTTATACCGTGATTGTTTCAGGGTTAAGAAGGAGCCATACTAGCGTCTACTTTAATTAAAATTGATAAGAGCAAAGGTTCACTTCACTTTGTATTTAATTATTTTATTTTACATGAGTTTTTTATGTAATAAGTAATTTGAAACCTTTCCTGTTTGATGAATCTAGATAGACACAATAAACAAACCATATAATTATTTTTAGTTTTTGCTGTTTTTATTAGGACTGGCTCACCAACCGTTGAAAGCACCGGCCCTCTGGCGTTTTCAAAAGCTGCCAAATGACCAATCCTGGCCTGGTTAGGTGTGAAAGTAGTTAGTAATGATGTATTGTAAGAAACTGAATCTTTGTTAGGTAATTATGCTATTCGTTCGGCGTAACAGTTGGTAGAAATGACGTAGATTACTACATTCTCGTAGTTAGGCGTGACTGTTCGTAATAATGATGTATTGTAGAAAACCGGGTCTTCATTAGGTTACTGCGTTCTCGTAATTAAGCGTAATAGTAGTTAGTAACGATGTATTGTAGGATTGTTTGTTTGTTATAAATTTCGCGCAAAGCTACACGAGGGCTATCTGCGCTAGCCGTCCCTAATTTAGCAGTGTAAGACTAGAGAGAAGGCGGCTAGTCATCACCACCCACCGCCAATTCTTGGGCTAATCTTTTTACCAACGAATAGTGGGATTGACTGTCACATTACAACGCCCCCACGGCTGAAAGGGCAAGCATATTTGGTGTGACGGGGATTCGAACACGCGACCCGCAGATTGCGAGTCGAGCGTCCTAACCACTTGGCCAAACCTGGCCTGTATTGTAGGTAATCCGGATCTTCATTAGATTACTACATTCTCGTAATTAGGCGTGATAGTAGCTAGTAATGAAGTACTGTAGGTAATCCGGATCTTCATTAGGTTACTACGTTCTCGTAGTTAAGCGTTATAATAATCAGTGATAATGTATTATAGGAAACCGGATCTTCATTAGGTTACTACGTTCTCGTAGTTAGGTGTGACAGTAGTTAATAATGGTGTATTATAGGAAACCGGATCTTCATTAGGTTATTACGTTCTCGTAGTTAGGTGTGACAGTAGTTAATAATGGTGTATTATAGGAAACCGGATCTTCATTAGGTTACTACGTTCTCGTAGTTAGGCGTGATAGTAGCTAGTAATGAAGTACTGTAGGAAACCAAATCTTCATTAGGTTATTACGTTCTCCTAGTTAAGCGTTATAATAATCAGTGATGATGTATTATAGGAAACCAAATCTTCATTAGGTTACTACGTTCTCGTAGTTAGGCGTGATAATAATTAGTAATGATGTATTGTAAGACATCGGATCTTCATTAAGTTACTACGTTCTTGTATTTAGGTGTGAGAGTAGTTAGTAATGAAGCTAAAAACGGTAATTAGGACGAAATACAATTTTAATTACCTGTGTCGAGGTGTAGGTTTAGAGATCCGTGTGTACGAGTCTTGTCAATCCACGTGCTTCATCTTTAATCTGTAAATATTTTTTTAGCTATAAAAGGTAAACAGATAAGGTGTATAAATGTCGGTACAGCGCATGGTTTGACATTAGTTTGGATTTGTTTGCTAACAGCAGAGATTAAAGATGCAGTTTAGAACCGACGTGACCAAGTTATGTACAGTCAACGTAGGTAGAGATCCTGATTAGAAGGGAGAGAGACTCCCACGACATAACATATAAAACAAAATCAACGTTGATAGTTGAAAGATACACTCGAGGTTGTGTGTATACATTCTGCTGTATTTTTGCAAAGTAACTTTGCAAAAGGTTAAGTGCATGTGCTGGTGTATCTTTTTTTTTATACACAAACTTTTTTTTAAGTTCAAAGTGAAATTGACTTTTGGTTTATTTTATCGTTATGACCCATGAAAACGTTATTCGTAATTAATTTCAAACTTTGAATTCGTTACAGTAAAATGAAGAAACTCGAATTCAAAGTCGCTTAAAATAACCGTTTTAAATTGAAAACTATAGTAAAGCTGTTAAGACATGTGAAACACGCATATCAAGAAAGTTGGATCTGAAATGTGGTTGAGAAGTGATTCTCCTTATTCTATGCTTAGTTAGTAACGCTACGTTAACATTTAGTTTCGTTTTTTGAAAATGAAACTTTGATTAGAAAAAGTGGTTAATTCTATATAATCTGGCAGTTTGGTTGTATGTGCGTTTCTAAGAAATCTCTAGGAAGACTTTTTCAATTTCATTAAGCGTGTTAAGCCTTTTTACGATTTTTATCAGTATATTATGTGCTAATTCAGGGCTATGATTAGACTAAGTTATTTATACCAGTGTTTTGAAACTATTCATCCAGTCTTTCTTCTGTTTTTGTTTTGCCTGTGTAGTAACAAATCTGGTTCTACTTCCAATCTTGGAGGGTTAGTAAATGATGTTTTGTCCAGTAAGCCGTCTGGTTCTAGAGGATCTACTCCCCCTACACCAGGTAAGCTAAGAATCTAAATGCTACACACTTTACGCATTGTTAACATTAAGAATCTAGTTAATCTAACCAGCATCACAATATACATTTTCAGGATTTAAATGGTTCTTTCCGCACACACCAGACAAGTTGAACGTGTAATACGCCTTTCTGTTCGTTCATATCATCAAACTTCATGGCCATCAGTTCAATGTGTATCACTAGATGTTTTAGGACGCTCGACTGGCAATCTGAGTGTCGCGAGTTCGAATCCCCGTCACCGAATATACTTGCCCTTTCAGCCAAAAGAGTAGCCCAATCAACTATTGTGACCGTTCTAATATACATTCAACTATTGTAACCGTCCTAATATACAGTCAACTATTGTGACCGTTCTAATATACAGTCAACTATTGTGACCGTCCTAATATACATTCAACTATTGTGTCCGTTCTAATATACAGTCAACTATTGTGTCCGTCCTAATATATTAGGTCGTCAATAAATTAATGTCGCGTTATGGAACACTATCATTACCCCCCCCCCCCAAAAAAAAAACAACAAAAAACGTACATCACGTATAATAGTTACACGAACCGCCAAAACGTCACGTCAGTGTAGCCTATATAATGTGTAAAGTTTAGTATACTCTAATCTCTTATAGTGATGGCACAGGACGAGACACACATTCGGCATGTAATGCTGTTTGAATACAAGAAAGGATACAACGCCTCTGTAGTCACAAAGAACTTTATGGAAATATTTTGAACGTTCGTAAGTGTCAACGATGATTCAGCAAATCTCCTTCTGGTGAATTTAGCCTTAAAAACTGTGATGGCAGGGAACGACATGTTGGAATTGATATTGATGCTCTAAAGACGCTTGTTGAGTTTAACCCAAGGTAACACACTCGTGAAATGGCCCTGAAATTGCATGTCTCTCATGAAACAATATGTAAACATCTAAGGAATATGGGAAAACTCCATAAAGAAGGTGTTTGGGTGCCTCACGAACTCTCCGATGATCATAGTTTCCAACATGTGAATGTTGCTTCGTCTCTTCTGGTGAGTAATGCGCGTGAACCATTTTTGGACAGAATTGTCACCGGTGATGAAAAATGGATTCTCTATGCGAATATTAAACGCCAAAAACAATGGCTCAGTCTTAGACAAAAAAACTTCCGACCCCAAAACCTGGACTCCATCCGTAAAAAGTGATGTTTTGCATTTGGTGGGACATCAAAGAAGTAATTAATTTCGAACTCCTCAATCCACAGCGAACTGTCAATGCAGAGATCTATAGTCAGCAACTGGAACGTTTAAATCAAGCCCTTCATCAGAAACACCCCTCACTCGTCAATCGGAAAAGTTTTCTTTTTCTCCACGACAATGCACGTCGAAATGCCATGGGATAATGCATTTGTTGACATTAGCACGAACGCCTCCGAATGCCTGCGGGATACACTGCTTCTCAGTCTGTTCTTGATCAAATTCAAGGTGGATAATTTTTTCTCAGAGGCAACTTGTATGAAATACAGAGTCAATAGAAAAGTGTAGGCCAGGACAACCACGTTATAGATATCAATCAAACAACTATTGGGACAGGACTTGGTAGCCAACAAATAGCGCATTTCTTACATAACGAGCATGACTTATTCACCAGCTACATTTCTATGTCCTCATATCACTCTTTACTTTTCCCTAGATGTTTTTTTTTTTGCAGCCTGACCACATATTCTTGTGCTGCTATTTCTTCACCTTGCTAGACTGATTAATTCACATCGTAAATGTTCCTCTGGAGAGAAAATGGTGGCACATGTTCATTAATTGTGTTGAGAATTACGTTGTGGACTTGAGTCCCATATGATGTGACGATATCAGTTATATGTTTCTCATGAACAAACTCGCCCGCCATGATTTTTCTTCTTTCTGTAGCCTGTACTTCAAGTTCACAATCTTCCACTTGTCGCAGCTTAGCGTTTATCCCCTCTACAAAATTATCTTCAGCCTTGTTAACAACCTTCGATGTTGAGACCTGATTAACATGCATGACTCCCGAATAATGTCGTTCATCAAACTGAATAGCCATGCTCTTGCAATCATGAACTTGGTCTAGGTACTCTGTTGATAGCCGTGCCGTGTATCTTTTATATTGTCCTTTAATATTTTCTGCTTCGTCAGTCGAGTTGCTAGTGATATGTTAGTATTACAGGACTTGAAAACACGCATTAGCAATTGAAACAAGTTTTTCCTAGTTAAACATTCGCAATCTATTCGCGCGAGGAGCTAGCTTTTCGTGAATGTATTTCCACAAAGAACATTCCAGCTTCCCTCACCTCTTTGCAGCAGTCTCCTCAATAAGCTGTCGAATTCTTTCGGTATTAACTGTAGTTCAAGAGAGCAAATTTAGGATCCTCTGCCCTTTCCCCTCCGAGGAATGCAACTTCTTGTTGTTGTTTTTTATACAATCGTTGAGGTTGGTTTTTGTTTTGTAGATAAACGTCATATTTCTAATAAGTAAAACAAACTTAAAAACAAAGCGCTATGATCTACAGAATATTCTCTACAGCCTCTGATTTGTTCCACTTATAGCTGAGTTCACACTTGCCTTGCACTTTTACAATGTCTTTCACCCACTCCAGTACCTTCCGCATCTTTTTCACTTGTTCTCGGTGTACATACATTTGATTATAAAATAGTAAAGTATCAATATATTCACTACTGACTTTCAAAAAGTAAGCTTCTGCACAGACTCTGAATTTGTCTAGTCTTTCATTCCTCCAATAAACGGATTTGTTAATAAGCTCATAGCAAACGGTTGGCAGACTGAGCACAATACTTCTATCATTTTGAAGAAATACTTAATTTATGTTTTGTTTTGGAAGATATTTACAAAAGTGAGCTGATGTATATTAGGACGGTTACAGTAGTTGAATGTATATTAGGACGGTTACAATAGCTGAATGTATTAGGTCGTCAAGAAATTAATGCCGCTTTTTTTAGATGAAAAAACCCGAACAACTTATATATCAAAACAAAACACTTGTTAAATGAAATAGTCTCCATTCTTATCGATGATGCTTTTCCATCTTACATTCAGATTATTAATGCCCTGATTAAAGAAATCACTTGGCTTTGAAGCAAAAACACATTGATATACTTTTTTCCATTAAGATGGTGTTGCAGCGAACTAAAAAGATGGTAATCTGATGGTGCCATATCTGGAGAATATGATGGGTGGGGAAGAACTTCCCAACCCAACTCCATAATCTTGTGTTGCGTCAAACGTGCCACATGACAAACAACAATTTGATTTTCATCAAATAATGTTTTTATCATGGAAAACTGGGATCTTTTCTCATTACTGAAACAAATTAACAAGACCTGCTATATTATTCAGGTTGGTAACCTCAATCAATGTGAACCTCTGTACTGACAGTAACTCCACATCTATCTCTATAAGCAACAAGCCATACAAAGAAGAAAATACCGGTGAATTAATTTACGTAATGAGCAAGTTTCGAAGAAGTTCACTCTCTTCTGCAACGCTTGATTATTCCATCGAAATCAAGACGCATAAGAATGTTTCTTTCTGTTGTCATTAGCACGAACGCCTCCGAATGCCTAAGTTATATATCTGTTGCCATTAGCATGAACGCCTCCGAATGCCCGTGGAATACATATGTTGCCATTAGCAGGAACGCGCTCCGAATGCCCGTGGAATACATCCGTTGCCATTAGCACAAATGACTCGGAATGCCCGTGGGATACATCTGTTGTCATCAGCACCCGTTCTTACTAAACATTATTTGAAACGTCAATATTGTTCTTTTCTTTCAGAAATACAACAATGACTGGTGGATTGGTCGTCTGGTGAAAGAAGGCTGCGACATTGGCTTCATCCCGAGCCCTGCAAAACTGGAAAATATCAAACTTCAACAGCCTCATTGTCGTGTTGGGAAACTCCAGCACAGGTACCAATATGGAAGAATAATAATATATCTTTAAATCGCTTCTTCTTTCTTGGTGTGTGTGTTTGTCTAGGGGGTAGGTGGGTTAATCGTGGTAAAACCCTCGTAGAAAAGATAACTTTCCACAATAACGTTAATTAACCAATTGTTAACAGCTTAAAACGTTACACAATCTCCATTTTTCATAACTTTCCACAATAACGTTAATTAACCAATTGTTAACAGCTTAAAACGTTACACAAGCTCCATTTTCTTCTTCTACTGAATTTGGTACATGTAATTTCACTTGGAGACAACTGTTAATCTCGAAGGTTATTGAACGTAATATCTAAGGAGTAACTGGATGATAGGTTTGTGGTTTCTATAAAAAAAATGTTTAGGCTTAACGATAAGTTAAAAAACCTCGTTTTGAAATACGTGATTGGTACTTATTAAACTATAAGAGAAGGAATCACTTGTTAAAAGAATTGTTCAGTAAGTGATACTTATTAAACTGTAAGCGTAAAGATCACTTGTTGAAATATACGTCAGCGATACGTTGTAAACATAAGCGAACAAATCAGTTCATGAAAAATGTTAGTGGAACTTATTTAAGAGGTAAGAGAAAAACCATTTACTGTAAGGTACGTCATTGGTACTTATTAAAATATAAGATAACAAATCATTTAAAAATAGTATTTTAATCTTGAAGAAAAAGATTAAATCTACAATTATGGCGTGTTGAAACAATGTGTATGTATTGTAGTAAACGATCTACATTATGTTATGTTCTTGTAGTTAGGTGTGACAGTAGTTATTAACGATGTATTGTAGGATACTAAGTCTTCGTTAGGTTATCACTGGGCCATCAGTGATAGTGCCTTGGCATCTTACTTCACACCGGCCCACTTAGAGGATGTAGTGCCTATACTTATTACCACGGAAGAATACAGGAAATGAAGAACACGATTGTTTGTTTGTTTGTTTAGAATTAAGCACAAAGCTACACAATGGGCTATCTCTTCTCTGCCCACCACTGGTATCGAAACCCGGTTTCTAGCGTTGTAAGTCCGCAGACATGCCGCTGTGCCACTGGGGTGAGGGGAGAACACGAACTACACTGATCGAATTCGTTTTAAATGTTTTTGTGTGTCAGTTCTACAGTGTGCACAGTTTTATCTTTTTGTGTTTTATTGCTGTATACGCTTAAATTTTATATCAAAAATAGCTCAATAAACTGCTTATAAAAGTTCGGGTTCTTTTTGTGCATAACAATATGACAAAGAGTGAACAAAAACCAAACCGTTTTCTTGTTCTAGAAATAAATGATCTTATAACACCAAATTGTTGTTTTCTTTAATTGGACACTCAACGTTTCGCTTTACAGTTTCTACAGGAGCGTTCCACTATACTAAACACAAACCGTAACTGATAGTACAAAGTTTCAAATGGTTGAAATAAAAAATATAAATTAATTAAATAAATTTATTATTTAAACCATTTAAAGCTTTGTACTATCAGTTACGATTTGTGTATTAGTGGTATTTTAAGGTCATTTATTTCTAATATCAAAATGTCTTCTTTACACCAATAGAGATTAAATAATGAGATTTCTTGCTCTGTTTGCTGGTAGTTTCGCTTACAGAGACTGACTTCGAATTCATTTATTTATTTCAGTATATTTATGTAAATCCATTTATGTATGTTTTTGTTAGTTAATCAAGTGGTAAACCGCAAATTGCTCAAGTAGTAAATGTGAAAATAAAAACATTGCATATAACTGATATATGTATGTAATGTGGCTGGAGGGACTACTTGAATATTTAATCATATAACTGATATATGTATGTAATGTGGCTGGAGGGACTACTTGAATATTTACTTATATAACTGATATATGTATGTAATGTGGCTGGAGGGACTACTTGAATACTTAATTTTAATCACAAAAAACAAGCACTGTCCTGAGACACATGTACTTCTTGAGAGTAAAATGCTATATTCACAAACATTAACCATCTTACGAGTGACATATGGTGTTACGTAACATTACGTATCACGTACAGACATTAGTTGTTATTAACAGTAACATACCATGTTTAAACATTAACTGTTGTGTAATAACTTTTAATTACATGAAGAATGTCATACACCCTTTCTCTCACAGTAGTAACAGTCCAGAAAAAAAGGTGTGATACAGTCTTTCTGTCACAGTGATAACTGCATAGAAAATGATGTTATACACCCTTTCTGTTACAGTGGTAACTGTCCAGAAAAATAATGTGTTATACACCCTTTCTGTCACATTAGTAACAGTCCAGAAAAATAGGAACGTTATACGCCCTCTCTGTCACAGTAGTAACCGTCTAGAAAAAGGAGGTTTTGTACACTCTTTCTGTTATAGTAGTAACAGTCCAGAAAAAGAAGGTGTTATACATCCTTCCTGTTACAGTGGTAACTGTCCAGAAAAATAATGTGTTATACACCCTTTCTGTCACATTAGTAACAGTCCAGAAAAATAGGAACATTTAATTTCGCTCCATAAGAAACAACGGGACCAGCTTTCTCATACTTATCTATATAACTCTCTAACTCAGAATGAACAATATGTCATTCTAAGAAACTTTATCCTTCATAGTAATCTCTACCGAGGAATGGACAATTTAGTTAGTCTTCTGTCTCGCGGCTATCAGTCTGACACCCTGTTGCACAATAGATAATATCTAGCTGTCTCAGGGCTATCAATCTGACACCCTGTTGCACAATCTCATTTTTGACTAAGTTACAAACAGTGTGGAAAAGTCGATCCCCATGTTAACAGATAAGGATTTTGTGGATTTTTGTGACCTTGCTGGGACTTTGACCTTGACCCTCCAAAAACTACTAACTTCTAAGTTGGGTCATAGTCCAAATATATACCAACTTTTATTCAAATACATTCAACCGTTTTCGAGAAATGGTGCTAACAAATACGTAAACAGGGGTGAAAACATAACCTCCGGTGACGGAGGTAATAATATTTACACATATCTGTCAGGTGAATAAATACTTGATCTCCTTAATACCTTAACTATTAATTCAGGTTATTCTTTCTCTCTTTTTTATTTTTAATGAAACTGTTTTGGCAGTTATCATGTTTGTGCAATGAAAAGTCACAAACAGTAGTTATATAAGAACAATTTGTGCTACTGTCTAGCGACCAGATATGAAAGTTGTTTATGAAACATTGAAATAATATATGCGTATAACCGATCTCACTGCTAAGTAGTGGTTTTCCTTTTTATTATTTCCCAATAAAAATACGTGTGGTGGAAGAACTGAATAATATTACTGTTATATAAGCTGTGAAACATTTGGTAATGGCAATTAGGTGCTCAAATAAGGTTATAACTGAACTTTAATTTGTAAGCATCATAGAGTAATAGCTTGAATGCGTCGGCCATTTTTTCTCGGCCTATCCCTATATACTAAACACTACCGTCCTTAGTAGAGGTTATTTGTATGTGATGTAATGGAGGTGGTCGATTTGTATTCTAGGGTTTATATACTTATTTATTAGCAGGCTGTGTGTTTTATGGAAAGGCTTACGAATGGATGAACAAAGTTAGAGACCTTCACATATGTTTTATATATATTGTGGAAGGATTTCTGAACGGATGTACATAGTTCAAAATGGCCTAATGTTTTAGTCATTATGTGGATGATACTTTTACAGAAATATTTAAATACATTAAACTATGGGAATTAATGAGAGAAAATATTAAGTATTGTTAAACTAAGCCAATATACAAATTACAAGTTCTATAGGCGAACACACTTGTATTATAGGTTTATAAATCATTTCAAAATATTAATGTAAGTTGTTCATCCAGAAAAGTTGGAATGTGACTTATTCATACCCCATCTTTCAGCGGAAAGCCTGAGGGTATCTAAAGCCAAACATTGGATTTCGATATCCGTGGTGGGCACAGCACTGATAGTTCCTTGTGTAGGTTTATGCTTAATAACGAAACGAACATGCCCTAAGATTCTCTATTCCCTACACAACTTTTTACATGATAATATGGCATTACATATCTCGTGGTCTTTTCATTCCGACTTTGTATTCGCTTTTACTATCAACTATTTTCAGTCGAAACCAGTGGCGTTTGCAGTACGAACGAACATCGCTTATGACGGAACTTTGGACGATGACTCAGCCGTTCATGGTTGTGCGGTTTCTTTCGATGCTAGAGAATTCTTGCACATTAAAGAGGTAAATATTTTTAAGTCAGGTTATTTTCTTTGAGAAACATACTGCTATTTCATAACAATCATCATTTTGAAATTCGACCGTTTTGTGTCAGTTTGCATGTTTTACTTAAAGTAGTTACATAGAATTAAAGGTTGGGTGCGTGATATTTCGAGTTCTAAACGGAACTGTTAGGACAGATTATGTTTATTATATACTTTGTGTTACCACTGTGACAGGAAGGGTGTATAACACCCTCGTTTTCTGGTTGGTTATTACTGTGACAGAAAGGATGTGTAATATTCCTTGTTTTTTGGACGGTAACTACTTTGACAAAAAAAAAGTGTAAAATACCCTCGTTTTCTGGAGGGTTGCTACTGCATTTACACCCTGCTGTGGAAGACACAACTCCGCTGGGCTGGCCATATTGTCAGAATGCCAGACAATCGCTTCTCCAAACATCTTCTTCGGTGAACTACAGACCGGGCTACACTCCAATGGTGGTCAGAAGGACACACTTACGGTTGTGCTAAAGGACTTGCAACGTCGATCCTAATACCTGGGAAACTCTTGCCCAAAACCGCCCAGCCTGGAATAGTGCTGTCACAAAGGGGGCAGCAACATGTGATAAACATCGCATCTTGACAGCCCAAAACAAGCGTGCAGCACGTAAAGCAATAAGAAGCAGCCATCAGAGCCCACCAGACCCCCCGCCCTGTTGTCTTGTCCTAATTGCGCCAGACATTTTTAAGCCAGGATCTGGCTAATCAATCACCCTCGAACACACAAAATCAATGGATGGTAATGGAGATGGTCTTCTTCAATCATGAAGGACGAACAGCACTAGTGTGACAGAAAGGGTGTAAAATATCCTCGTTTTCCGGACGGTTACCACTGTGGCAGGAAGGGTGTATAACATATTATTCATCATTATAAAATGGTTCATTAAGATCATTCATTTTTAACTATAAGGATTAAAACAAATTGGTGATTCACCCTAGTTCTTTGGTTATGAGTGACAGGTGGTGTAAAGTGGAAACAAACTGAACCGTAGAGATCTTTCTACAGACTTCTCACTTTGAAGTATAGGGTTAAACAGGATTTCCACGATAGTATCGCAAACCATAAAAAAAGCCTCCCTTTAGTCGTGGCTTATAAATGATTTAATAGTAGTTCCTGGAGGATTTTTCAAACCCAGTATCAAAGTCCACTGGTCAAGAATTGTGCAAATCTGGACTCTTATGACATAGTGAATACACAAACGACTTATTCATCCAGACAAACACTTCCCTAACTAATTTTTTTGCCTTACGGTTTTTTCAGGAGTTATCTACAACAATGGTTTTTGTTTAATACAGAACTAAAGTAGCTACAGTTATAAATTATACAATAGTTTTAGGAAAAACGTATATTGTTTACGTTATAGGTAGTTTCAGAAGAAGCCATAAGGTGAAATATCGATCAACTAAAGAAGTCGCTTTGTATTTGTGATATATTTAAATATGTAAAGTAAAAACAAAACTCCATTTAGCGTTCCAAAACAATTTAGAATACAGATCTGAACTCATAGGAAAAATTTTGTGGGTTTGAAAAATCCTCCAGGAACTACTATTAAATCACCTATAAGCCACGACTAAAGGAAGGCTTCTTTTATGGTTTGGGATACTATCGTGGAAATCCTGTTTAACCCTATACTTCAAAGTGAGAAGTCTGTAGAAAGATCTCTACGGCTCAGTTTGTTTCCACTTTACACCACCTGTCACTCATGA